TTTTGGCCATTATACTGAATTTTTTACGGATTTTCCGTTTGCCCGATCATGACATACTGTAGCAAACAGTTGATGTGACCGGTCAACAAGGGATGCTTACTCCTTCATTGCACCTGATCCCACCTTTGACGTTTTTAGAGGTCATGATTGCTCTGCTTTGAATTTTTATTGCTTCAATGGACTTTTAAGGAGGCTGGAGGGTCAACAAATTAACCATAAGATATAACTTAATTTCTTAGATATGATATCTTAAGCTGTCAACTATCATTTGGCAAACAAAAATTTCATACATATTAGTTTTAAAATTTGATCATTTTTTGTATATCTTGATATGGAGCTCTTCTTCTAAAGGAGATCAATATAGTCTGAAAATGGCCACAACCACCCAGCCCTCTTAAGTCTGATTACTTTTCATTGTCTTCACATTGTATTCCTTCTTATGGTAAAACACACTGTGATATTACTTATTTTCATGGGGGGTTAATGATTGTAAGGAATTGTATAGCAAGTACTTCAATGAGACAATAAAGCTTGTTACATTTATTACAATTCATAGAATGAGTAATATGCACAAGTATACATGTATCATATATACATAAATAAAGAATTAAAGATGAAGACAATGTTGTTACAATACAGTATTTTTTCGGACGTAGAAGCAGTGACATACTTGTATTTAATTCGAAGTCACGGGTGTAAAAGTAAATAATCCATACCGTTCGATCAATACCATTCATTAGAAATCCAATAATAATAATAATAATAATAATAATAACTAGAAACTCATTGCGAGCAATGAGAGGTCTTCCGTCCGATTCTGAAAATAAAAGCAAAAATTCACTCTGAAAAAGTGATAAAAGAAATTCAGCGTGAAAATCCAAGAAAGCTAACCATTAACCATTCACTTTTTTGCATCACTTCCTGTCACGACCGGAAGTAACGGCGATACAAGATTTTCTCACGATTTAAATAAACTGATGACTGACTATCAGACATGAAAGTTTTAGACTTCAGTCGTTTACTGTTGCTGAGCAATATTGTGAGAATAAATTCTAATTTTGAGGACAGGTAATCACTCGACCGGAAGTAAATTTTATAAAAAATCTCTGCAAACTTTTTCAATCAAAAAGATGAAAACATACATAAAACTCCTAGAAGACTCTCTATTAACCCTGTAAATCCCAAAGAAAAATATTGAAAAACAAAAATGTTGCAAATTTAACATTTTTGAATTCACTTTCGTTTGCGACCGGAAGTAAGAACGACGAAAATTAATTGTCGATCAATATATCTACATTTGATGCTCTATCACCTCAGCAAGTTTCATATTCATATCTTTAGCCATTCTCTGTTGATACTGTTTACTTTCTTTTATTCTTTATGTATTCAACTTTTTATTTCATGTAATTCCATATACAGGCATGTCCATGTAATCTTTTTCTGCACTTCTATATACTTCTGCATCAGACCATTTGTCTACTACGAAAGGTTGATCACGATACATTATTTCGCGCGAAATGTCACGGGTAAATATTCGTGCATATCCTTCGGAATGTATTTTCTATTGAATGGTGATGGTTTCAATGAAATTTCAAAATGTATGTTCTTATAACCTGAATATCGAGCTTGAGAAAGTATTTTTATCATATTGTACTTATTATATATCGTATGGATAAGTAACACTGAAGCAGTGATTTAGGTAAGATTTTCTACAAGTTTTATTTTCCTGTTTACCCCCAAAGTGGACTATCCCGATTAGTTACACATTCATGGGAAGACTAGAATGTTTCGCCCAAAAACATGTCTCGTCCTGCGACGGTCAAGGAATCTGATACCATTTATGTTCAATAACAACATCTTTTAGAAAAAAAAAAAAAATATTTAAATCATTTTCATTAAACAATCTTTAAAAAAATGGTTTTCTTATTTCTGTCTTTTCTGTTCATTTAATATGACACAAGCCTGCATGGGGAAAAACAATGGCCACGTAATAATTACTATATATTGATTGCTTTAGTCAGGCAAGTTTCTTGAAAAGCTTTTACTTATAACCATGGTTTAGGATCAGTTTTTTTCCGTGGTGTAAAACAAAAGGTTGTAGTTATCGTATTTCCACTTGTAGTCATGTCGTTTTTCTACTTTGAGATACAGACAAGAAAAATTATTGTAGACGTTTGAGGAAACCCCGGATTAAAACTATATTGCGAAACAGAATTGCAACGTAATTGTGATGTGACAATCCAACATTTCCTTCACATTTCTTTGATCCTTATGGTACTTTCATTCAAACAAACGCTCGGCTGACTCCGTAAATTCTGACCTACTTATCGGAGTTTACAGAGACAGCCGCCATTTTGGACCCGCTTCAAATTTAGAAATGCGAATATCTAGAGTTTGGATTGATCAATTCTAAAATAAATTATATATAAAGCATTTTCAGAAGAATCTCTATTAACCTTATTAAAATAAAAGAAAAATATAGAAAAACAAAAAAAGTTTTAAAATACGACTTTTTTAAATTAGCATCCGGTAACGACCGGAAGTATTGACGACGCACAAAAAGGTGATTCCCCTCATCTAGAAGACATAACCTATCATCTCTAACAAGTCTCCAGTTCATATCTTAAACCATTTTTGAAAAAAAGGGGGGACAAAATTTCATTTTAAAATCAGAAAACTGTCAATAACTTGGCACCAGAAGCGAGTTTTCCAAATTTTCCTTCTGATGAACAAAGTTCATTTGACGACGCATAATTCCTGAAAGTTTCATTTAAAACCACTGAATAGTTTTTGAGAAATCGCCTGCACAAAATTTTGGGGAAAAAAATAATAATAAGAAGAAGAAGAAGAAGAAACAGTAGAATCACTATAAGGTCTTCCGTGAAGACGGAAGACCTTAATAATAATAATGTTGATGATGATAATGATAATTATTATGATCATAACAAGAGAACTAAACAATAAAACGTTTTAAAATATTGTTTTATTCAATAAAAAATTGATTTCACTTATATAGCTAATAGTTTTTTTTTTCATAAATTATTTGAGGGCTGTGACATCTAGGACGTTTCAATGGTCAACTTTTATGCAGCATGTTTTATTTGATACATATTGTTTACGTGAATATTATTCATAAGGAAGACAAGGCCTCTGTGTGCTTAAATGTCGTTATCCTTAGTGCAACCTGACTTAAATCCGTTCAAAAAGGTATGCATTATCAATCAAATATTGAGAATCACTTTTCCATGATACTTATTTAGAGAACTCTTTATTCTAAAGTATATGTTCTAGCAATACAAATGTAAAGAACGACAGGTAAATGATATTTATATATTTTTAAAATTATTCTAAATGCAGTGAGGCAAATAAGAACGTTGTATCCTTGCTACATTGCGTTATATATTTGTGAATCATTAAGAACATATGCAGATCCATGAATATCTTGGTTCCAAACGTACTCATAGCACAAATAAATAAATTATATATATATATATATATATATATATATATATATATATATATATATATATATATATATATATATATATATATATATATATATATATATATATATATATTGTAATAGATATCTGTCTAAGAAGTGTTTTAACGAGCCAAAAATGAGGAGAAACTTTTTCCGGGGGGTTGGGGGGGGGGGGGGTCAATAAATCACCTCCATTCAAATTTACAAGTTTATGAATAAAATTTTGTTGAGGGTTTGGTAAATTATGAATCATGTATATGAAATATTCTCTCCTATTTAGCATACCCCGACTTCCCAAATCTTTCTTAAAATCTTCATCTTTCTGATTCTTTGGTGTCATCCTCATTATATGAACGTATTCAGCATTGTAACTGTTTATAAATCGGAATACACACATTGAAATCTCCTCCAATTGAATTTCCGGCTGAAGTCTAGGTCACTGGCAAATTTTTGAATTCTTTCACCAAAGCTTTATGTAACACATAAAATGATGAATCAAAATACATATACAAACACAATGCATGCACTTATAAATAAAACATCTAGTATTTTATTTTTCACCACTTATTTACCTCGCTTGTGTGATGGAATGACTTCATTTATGAGTTCTCTTGTCTGGGTCATTAACTTTTTAGGTGACTCTTTAATTTTTTCAATCTGCTTTTTAGTGTTTCTACTCACACAAGTGAAAAATTCTGAAGAATAAAGTTATGTAAAATGAAATTCCATAATCATATAAATTATATGTATAAATTTTCAAAGGAGGAGTTAAGATGATTCAATTAAAATAATTCCATTCCAGTTTCAGTAAAACTTACTGCTTGGGCAATAAAATTTCTTTTTCCGCCGAATTATCACTGACAAAATTCCTACACACACTAGTACATGTACTATGATAGCAATCACACATACAGCACCTCTGAAAATATTGATGCATAACTTTCGGTATTTAAGTCTATTGTGGTGTTCTTACGTCCAAATAATTTTCTTTCATATTGTAGTTTTATGTTCATATTTGTATTACCAAGTGGGGTGAATTTCAGTTTGAGGGTCATCATGTCCATGCCTAATAAGGCAGGTCCATAACATGACTGAAAATCCTTATGAGGATGTTTATTTTTATAACCTTGCACAGTCATACATGTATCAAACATAGATAAGCCCTGTCGTTGAGGGATCAACCCAACAATGAAAAAAATAACCCAGAATACTTGAAAATTCACACAATTATCCTCATAGTGTATCTCTGGTAAGAACTGGCGGACGGAAAGATGGAAGGGCAGACAGACGACAACCAACAGGTGATCAAAAATGCTCACTTGAGCTTTCCGCTCACATTTTATGAAAACCATATTGCTTATCGTGATGTCAAATAAAGAGATCCCGGAAGCAGACTCAATAAGGTAACATTTACAGGGATTTTTATGCTATATATTAAAATGTTAGCAATACATGTGCACAGTAAAAATAGTTGTGCTTACGGAGAAAAAGATAATTTTGGTGAGGTTGCAACACTCAATTTCTTGCTCATTGCAGTCTTATTTGTGTCTTCATTCAGGTTGCTGAATTTGAAACATTCTTGATCTGAAAAAAATATTGATGGCAATTAAGATATCATATATGATCTCTCTTTCTCGTATATTTATTTGTGTGTTTACTGTTTGTATGATTATTTACATTTTGTGATCCTTTATAGTTCTCATTATTTACTAGGTAGGAAATTCATAAATAAATGAAATCAAGAACTTACTATAAAAATGAAATTTTAAAATGATATAACTTACAAAGAAAACCTTCACTGGAGCTATAATGATATGGGCATTTATTACAGACATGTTCATAATGTTCTTGTAGAAAAGCACCGCCATGCGAAAATTCTGCACATTTTCGACCTAAAAATTAAATATCAATATAGTTTCATCTGTTTTTCTTTCTCAACATTATTACTAGAAAAAAAAATGTTTTACATTACCGACAATAACTGTTTCCTCGGCGCACAGCTCAATCGTAGCATTGCCCCAAACATTTAATACGCAATGGTACGTGAATTTCTCCTTAGATGTACAATTTTGACGAACTTTTTGGCAGCTAAATTCTGTAAATCGAGATCTCCATTCTGCTTCATTTTTAGGACATGATGAAGTGTATTTCGTCGTTGAAAGGGACTCAAAACATGTCTCCCTACTCTGCAATGAACAGGAAACGTTGTGTATTTGATCAAGTGACCATTTCTTCAGTATTTTTTTTCCCCATTGAATTCATTTCATTTCAAAAGAGGGTAATTATTTTGTAGGAATACAAAATCATTTAAGAATAATAAAAATAAAACTAGATGAGATCTCGTTGCGAGCAACGAGTAGGTCTTCCGTCCGATTTTTCGATAAGATGAGATATGATTTTGACTATGATCTTTGTTAAAAGATATAATATATAGACTTCCCTATCTAGATTTCCTTCTTTTGATTTATATAACATGATCAAAAAGCTATAAATGACATGCTTTTGGCCCCTCTGAGCAGCTAGTTTGAGGGGTCAGCCCTTTTTTCTTCATATCAATTGAAAGGTCTTGTGATTTTGAAGACTTTTTGTTCAACAATTATTCAGAGATTTCTTTTCGTTGTGGAGAAATGCTGAATGAAAATATCTAGGGGCCACCTCCCCAGGTCCTTAATGGGGCCGTTTGACAAAAATTGAAAGAGTGCATATTGTTAAGAACATTATTCTGACCATCTTTTGCTCAGTATTGCTTATCAAAATATTCTCCCTTTTCGAGATATAAACTGTCAAAGATTTAGCATTCTGGCCCCTTGTGACCCCTTATTACGTAACATATGATCAAAATCTTATCATATATTGCTGTAAATCGTTAAGGTAAACATCTTTGCTTCAGTAATGTATTACAAATTATTGATCGTTAAAGAGTTAAAGATTAAAGACTTTTGGCCCCTCTGAGCCCCTTATTTGAGGGGTCAGCCCCTTTTTCTTGATATCAAATGAAAGGTCTTGTGATTTTGAAGACTTTTTGTTCAACAACTATTCAGAGATTTCTTTTCGTTGTGGAGATATATTGAATGGAAATATTTAGGGGCCACCCCTCCAAGTCCTTAATGGGGCCGTTTGACAAAAATTGAAAGGGTGCATATTGTTTAGAACATTATTCTGACCATCTTTTGTGCAGTATTGCTTATCAAAATATTTTCCCTTTTCGAGATATAAAGCGTCAAAGATTTAGCATTCTGGCCCCTTGTGACCCTTATTACGTAACATATGATCAGAATCTTATCATATATTGTTGTAAATCATTAAGATAAACATCTTTGCTTCAGTAATGTATTACAAATTATTGATCGTTAAAGAGTTAAAGATGAAAGACTTTTGGCCCCTCTGAGCCCCTAATTTGAGGGGTCAGCCCCTTTTTCTTGATAACAAATGAAAGGTTGTATCATTTTGCACAACTTTTCTTCTATATGTTTTAACAAATTCTTAACATGTATCAAGATATGAAAGAAAAGGTGTAAAATTTTGTGAGATGTTTCTGAGACATTTTTTGAGCCCTACCGAGCTTCGGCGCCTTTTGCGCTAGAGAGATTTGGACACCTGCCTGCAAATCTACAAACCTTCCCCTACCTTCACTGAAAATCTTGACTCAATATCTTAAGTCGTTTCGGAGGAGTTTCCAGGACAAGTCGACACTCTGAAAATCAGAAAATCGTCCATATCTCACGACCGGTAGTGACGACATCGACGATGAAAATTTCCGACAAGGTTCAGATGAATATCTATCAGATCTGAAAGTTTGGTGAAAATCGACCGAGCCTTTTCCGAGAACTCGCGTGCACAAAATCAGTAAGAAAAAAAAGGATAATAATAGGGAAAAAGAAACCGAACGAAAACAATAAGGTCTTCCGTTGGAGACGGAAGACCTTAATTATGAATTTAATTGCACATTCAAATACTAACCATTTCTGATGAATGGAATAAAGGTAAAATTATCCATAAACACGTCACCTCCCGTTTCCCAGTCATCTCTTTATTTTCTTTGCTTTTAATATAAAAGAACATCAACAGTATTTGATTTTCATTTAGAGTGCATTGCATGAAAAAAACGGTTATTAATTTGATTGAAAATAATTTTTAATTAATACATAACTCTTCATTTAATTATGCATCGCTGTCATTCTTTAGGTCAATACGATGATTTAGCCACCCGAAAAGTACCTAGTCTGAAGGGCGAGGCGAATATAGTAACTGGGGGGGGGGGGGCTAAATCATTCTACTATCTGAAAAGAAACCTAGCAATTATTGTTTATTTTATGTTTTAAGGATTAAATGATACAAATTGAACAGTTCAGCAATCTTTCTTATTTGCATTAGTTGAAGTTTTAGCTACGCAGTAAAAGAAGCGGGTTAAACAAAAACAGTGGTATCATTTTGGAATTATATTTTATATTCCATTTTGGCCCGACTTGAGAAAAAAAAAAGACAGGTAGCATCCATTTTGAAAAGAGGAGGGGGTTATTTGGGGGAAAAGATATTCACCTGAAATCTTTGACAAGACCACAAAAAAGAAAATTCTTCTTATTACCAATGTTATTTCTTTCTAGGGGGTGATAGGGTCAATTAACGTAGGTGATATTTGATTACACTGTATCAAAAGGTGTCTGGTGGTGGTTGGGGTGGGGGCAGCTTTTCAATAAACATTTTCATGCTAAATTAATTTTAGCAGAAATTCACATTCAGAAAAAGGTACCCCTGCAATAACCAAGATACCGCGATTCCGAATCCATGTGCCTGAATGTTATTTTCGCCTGAGTTGAATTCGGGTATAGTTGAAATAAGTCTTCAGAAATTACTGTATTGATTTGGAAGTTCTGTATCTATATTTAATCCACTATAGGAAAAAAAAAATACCTTATGTCATTTTGAAAGTCATGTACAGGTGAACTTAAAGTAGTTTTTCTTCTACAATTGTGGATCTCAACCAATGAAAGAATAACGAATTATCCATTCATATAATAAAAAAAATAGTGTACTAATGACCAAACGCATGTGTACACGTAATATTTTACAATATATTGCAACCAACCCTCTTGTGTGCATGTTTCTTTTCTATTTTTCCATTATGTGTGTGTGAGGGTGTGTGTGCTTGTGTGTCCTTGTATATTTTTTTTATCCTATCTTAAAACATAAAGTATACGAAATCCAGCATAATATAGGAATTCAACAAAGGTAGAAATGTACTTTATTATTTCTTCACATAGAACACTCGATGATTATGAATAATATAAATTGACTTGTGATGTTTTTAAGAAACCTTAAAATTATTTTAGAAATATGTATCCTGGTGTATAATGGTTTTATATCAATGAACCTTTTGAAATGATTTTTCCCATTATCAATTAAAAAAAAAATAATGAATGAATTTGAAAAAAAAAATATGTCATGCGCTTCCTAAATAGTAGTTTGCATAACATAATGTGTAAATAAAAGAGATATTTCCAAGCATGCTGACAAAGCGCGATAACTCTCTTATCTTAATGTATACTATAATGTAAACAAAATTATTGATATATATTTTTTTCCATTTGGAGAGCAATGTTTTTTTTTTTTATTTAATCAATAATAAATGTATTACCATAAAAATCATACAGTTTAAATAGTGACTACAGATGTTATATCAGATAGAGAGCTCATATTGTACAGACTAATGCATATAAGAACGTTCAGGCATTTTATTTTACGATTTTCTATGTGATTAAAGTAAAGCATGATTTTACGATATTTAGCGACTGCATTTTATAAAATACATTAAAAGTGTGTACAAATGTACCCCCCCCCCCCTCCTTTCAGAATACCCAACACTTAATTTTGTTTTGGTTCCGTTTCGTTATTATTATAACAATACTGGCTATTTTATTATTGTTTGTATAGTCATTTCCGATTCATTATTCATTATTCCCTAGATTCAATTAAAAACAAAAAAAAAAAAAAAAAAAAAAAAAAAATAAAAAAATAAAAAAATAAAAAAAAATTAAAAAAAAAACCACCACATTATTTTCTTTCCTAAATCAATCCTACTTCATCCCCAAAAAGCAGTGTAAATCATTGATAATTTCTCAAAACTTTAGCAAAAAGCAGGCAAATAAAAAAAAATGTAAGTAATAATGGATAACTTTGTTTGGGATTATGATGATGAAATGTTGGACAAAATTTGCAATTATCTTGATACATAAGACATTTAAAGTTTGATATGCTTACCGAGTTATTTCTTACACACTTCTGTTCACCTTCTTCATGCACGTATAGATTAACAGAATTTAAAATTTAAATGTTGTGCCTTTACTGAAATGTTGACATGCTGACTACTTTTCATTGGCTAAAAAAAAAAAAAAAAAAAAAAAAAAAAAAAAAAAAAAAAATATATATATATATATATATATATATATATATATATATATATATATATATATCTAAATTTAGAACACACTGTTATATATAATTTATGGTGAAACCGTATTAAAACTTCGTGTTATTATGTGCTTAAAAGATGCTGAAATTGATATATATATATATATATATATATATATATATATATATATATATATATATATATATATATATATATATATATATATATATATATATATATATATATATATATATAATTTCTACATTGTAAATGTACTAAAATTTATAGACTATCGTGCACATCAGACAGACAATGCCAGTCTACCCTCTATTTGTAGCTACTCGGCTATTTTCATAGAGAGATACGGAAATGGCCAAGTCGGTACGATTGGTTTCTTGAATCACACTTCCTGCTTGACCCACTTTATATCTGTATAATACTTAACTATACATATTTTAGCTCAAGTACCATTTACATGGTTTTGAGAGAAAAAAAAAAAAACTGAACTGAACTGCACTTGAATGCCACATTTTGTTTATTTGAATCAAGTAGAAAATTGAAGTTCAACGTTAATGATGTACAAATACTTAAAGGCAAACTGAAGGTAGTTTTTGAAGGGTGCTAATTTATTTCTAAAATTCGAAATTGATTTGCTTGGATATGATCAAATTTTGAGAACAATACTGGCGGATCCAAGAACCTCTAGAAGAGGGAAAGTTAAGCAGGCTGGGGGTCTGGAGCCGCCTTAAGACTTCTAGTGGGCTAAAGCGAG